CCGCGAATAATCCTACGAAGTAAACCGCTCTAACAACCTCTGCGGTTCCACTTCAAAAAGGTCCAGGCCGTGTCAGCAGTAAAAAATCCATTTTTTTAATATTTTATGAGGTGAGCCCGGTGTAGGACACATGACGACATATTACTTGAGTCCGTATGCAGAGCTACATCCGCAGTTCGTATGGAAATAAATTTTCTAGAATTTGGGACTAAAATAGGCCCCTTTGCAAAAAGTTAGGGCCCCCAAAACTTTTACTGCTTGATTTTAGGAGAGAAACACAATCATAATTATAGAAGAAACTCTTTCTGTCTGCTGCGTGAAGTTTCCATAAAGATTGCGTCCTCCAAGTAAATAATATCCTTATTAGTTCTTGTGAATCAAAATCTTTATTTTGTTATTCTTAATATCGGTTCCTCATTTCTTATTTATTGTTTAATTTAATCAATAAAGGAAAAGTATATCCCACTTTATAGTGAGATTTAATTTATCACTGATGTAATTACCTTGACATGAAAACAAATCTTTTGTATTGTCATGAAAAAAGAACTTCTATATGTTTACTTTGGACCTTTCGGCAGGATTTAAGTTAGGGAAATTTACATAAATGCCTCACAATTCTTATGGATTTACATATCTAACACTTAAAGTTTGATATTCACATTTTTAACAACTTGGTGCTATATACCTATGCATTTAACTCCGCTTAAATCACACCTTAAAGTTGTTACCAAAAAGCCTCTAGAATTTGCAACTCATAGTTATTTTTGAGCTTTTCAAACCCTTTTCTTACGGCTGCATAATGAATACATTCTTTCATTGCTATTAGCAGACTTCACTTCACTTTGAAATATGACTTCAGTTGTTTAAGGTAAATATTTTATCTACAAGTCAATGATAAAGAAACTTTTTAAATGAGAAATATTCTATTTAGTTGATATGATTTCCCATTAGTTATACATGTTTCATTGCTTCATTATTATTATTATTATTATTATTTATACTGGCATTTACATGCACAGCACAAAATTCTTATGTATTTAACTATCTCTCACCTAAACTTTTATATTTACATGCGTAGCACTCAAATCTTTAATATCACATAAAGAATAACATAATTATCATTTTTTAATAGTGTAAGACACCCTTTCATGCATAGGTTTAAAGCATCAAAGTGATCAAAGTGCTATATATAGGTTTAAAGCATCAAAGTGCTATATATGTAAATATGAAAGTTTAGTGTGAGATATGTAAATACATAAGAATTGTGTGCTGCATATCTAAATTTCCCTTATTATTTTCGCGTCTAAAGTCTGATGACTCCATTAGGTCTCGTTCATATTATAACAATCAAACAAAGTCTATGTTTTCCTCTCCTAACTTTTCGATGATGACTTTTTCGTTGTGTTAGGAATTGTTTCAAAGCTATTAGTGGTTTTACTCGTGGGAGTTTTGGCATGGTCGTATAATGCAACCCGGCCTCCACCACCTAATATATGTGGAACAACAAATGGTCCTCGTGTAACATCGTCAAGAATTAAGCTGAATGATGGAAGACATCTTTCATACATTGAAAAAGGCGTCTTGCAGGAGAAGGCGAGACACAAAGTCATATTTATTCATGGATTCGATTGCTGTAAGCATGATGTACTTCCTATTTCGCAGGTAATGACAGCATCGTTGCTTGTTTACCTTTTGGAAGATTTACATACATACTGCTCAATTCCTATGTATTTACATATCTAACAACTAAATATCAATTTTTGCATACATGACATCTTACCTATGCACAAAAAGGCATATTTCACTTTTTAAAAATTTCAAATGGTGGTATATTTGATATGATGTGAAAGATTTGGGTGGTATAAATATAAAAATTAAAGTTTATGTGTTAAATATGTAAATACATAAGAATAGGGTGGTATGTATGTAAATGGCCCTTACCCTTTTTATTCTGTAGGTGATATTTGTTGGCTTGAGTTTTCAGGAAATGCTCGATGAATTGGGAGTATATTTGCTGTCTTTTGACAGAGCTGGTTACGGGGAGAGTGATCCAAATCCAAAGATGTCAGTGAAAACCATTGCTGAAGATGTTGAGGAACTCGCTGATAAGATGGCATTAGGTCCTAAGTTCTATCTCATGGGATTTTCCATGGGTGGAGCGTATATCTGGAGCTGCCTAAAATTTATACCTCACCGGTCTGTTTCAATCTTTTTTATTGTTTTTATCTGTTTTAGTTATCACACTTGCTCGCATTCATGAACAATGAAGGTTAGTCTAGCGAGTTTTGGGGAAGTGAAATTTCTAATATTTTGAAATACATGCACTTGTATGAAATTTTGGTGGTTTTATGGGAAGTTTTCCTTTTTTTTTTTTTTGGTCATAATAATTTCAAGGCGCATTTACATACATAACCAATTCCTATGTATATTTTGATCTAATCCCTAGTTATTTACTTGATTTTTCCATTGTCTAGTATGCATCCTCTTATCTGGGGAGAAATTATTTCGAATATCAAAATGGTTAGTTATGACAGTAAGTCGAGGTTTTCACATTTAAATGCTGGCATGATATTCGGAGTCTTGAGTTGTAGCCAATAACTATGCCTAACAAGAAGCAATCTTTTCCCTTATGTTTTATTGCATCCAGTCCTGCTTTTTTTTTTTAAATTATAAAAAGTAATAAAAGAAAATTTTAGGGGCTGTATGTTAACGGAGTAAAGTTAGATTTAACTTAAGGGGGTGTTTGGTTGCCTCTTAGATTTAACTTAAGTAGGATTTACTAAATCCAGTAAATCCGGATTTGATAAATCCACCTCTGGATTGGATTTACTAAATTCGGGATTTACGTTAAGTGGGAGAAGTTATTGGATTTAAATGGATGGAAGAATTTAATAGAGGAAAATTTATGTTTGGTGAATTTACAATAAATCCAATGTAAATCTATCTTAAGTTTGGCTACCAAACACCACCTAAATCTTGTCAGACAGAAAAAATTAACTTTTAAATCTAAGATTTAGTAAATTCTAGTGTTTCACAATTCCTTCACAGTATTGCTTAAAATCCCTTGCAGGGTTTAGTAAATCCAAGTTTACAATTTTTATCAGCTGTCCTTTTTATGCAGGCTTGCAGGCGCCGCACTTGTTTCTCCAGGTTCTAACTATTGGTGGCCCAATTTCCCTAATAACTTATCTAGTGATGCTTATAGCAGACAGCTTGCTCAAGACCAGTGGGCAATTCGTGTTGCTCATTATCTGCCCTCTTTAACTTATTGGTGGAACACCCAGAAATGGTTTCCTTCCTTCAGCGTGATAGCAGAAAGCACGGACGTCTTATCAGAGAAAGACAAAGAGCTTTTACCCAAGATATTAGCTAGAAAACAGTACCAGGTACGACACTTGGAACTTTTGATTGTGCTTTCAAGGTGAAGCTTGAAGATTGTTTGTTAAATACTTTCACATGATTGAAATGGTAATTAATGCGGTTTTAGTTATGGAAGATTTACTGACATACTACTCAAGTCCTATGTATTTACATATCTAACACCTAACTTCAATTTTTACATGCATACCACCTTACGTATGATTGAAAAGGTGTATTTCACTTTTTTAAAAGTTGAACTGGTGGCATTTTTTATGTGATATGAATGATTTGGGTGGTGTAAATGTAAAAAGTAAAGTTTAACTGTTAGATATGTAAATACATTGGAATGGGGTGGTAATATGTAAATGCCCCTTTTAATATTCTTTCTTTGGATATCACATAAATGAGTGGAAGTGATATTTGGACGACCTGATGCTGAAGACCAATGGGTTATTTTCTCTGCGTGTTTGCCTTGTAAGTTGCCTCTCTACATCTTTTGCGCTGCTGGAGAAGTTGCAGACTTGAGGCATACTAAGAAGCTAGCACCCAACCAAAGAAAGCCTTAATCTATTGGTTAAATTATGACATGATTGCAAAATGAAATTAATTTCTGGCGTTTGATTGCAAAATTAACATTAATTAGTTTAAAAATCTTTCAAATTTATACCAAAGTTTAAGAAATTGATAATATCAATACCAAACTTAATACTAGACTTTCAAGGCTAAACCTTGTTTTTTGTTTTGTTAGAAGTTATATTATGAAATAATTTATTTATGTTAGAAGTTATGAGAATTAGATTTATTTCCTATTATAATTTTATTTTCTTTCCTATTTTAGATTTATTTTCTTGAATTGGATATATTTTCTTTTCTTATTTTAAACTTTCTTATTTTATTTTATTTCCTTTATCTCAAAATAAATAATATAAATAGATTAATTAAAGATATTAAGTGTTATATCTTTCATTTCCTGTTATTTTTTATTATCTTTCATATTCTAGGATTCATGCAATGATTATTTATACCCCCTTTCATATGAATAAAAATATACTACTGAATGCTGAAAATCAATATGGTATTAGAGTCAAATGTCCTCCCTAGCCACTGGTCTTCCTTTCAGGGCCGCCAGACTTCTTTCCTGCCATCCTACCTACAGTAAGTGAGTGACACTCCGTCAAAGCTGGTCGCCGGAACTCTTGCATAGAGAAGAATTGAAAATCCTAAAATGGCTTCGAGAGGAACCCTAGAGAACTCTTGGAGCAAATCGTTTGGTGATTCCTTACGTTTCTCCTCCTTGTCGCTGACGACGAGGAGCGCGAACCTTGCTGTTGGTAGAATTGGGATGCAACCCATCTGATCAAGAGCTCCGAGAGATAGCGTACGAGATCTTTGTTGCTGCGTGTCGAAACGCAATTGAGTCGCTGACATACTTTTCGTCTTTGGAAAGAGAGGCAGCGACAGGAGGATCATTCACGCCGTTGTCGGCGTAGAGGCCGTTGCATTTGCTTCATCGCTATGCAACCACCGTCGACACAAAGATCTCTAACTTTGACGACTACTAACAGGATGAAGAAAACGTTGGGGCTTAACTCGTCTCGAAACAGCACCGGGAAGGACAACAACCCCTTTAGGACCGTAAAAAAGCCAATGACAATTGGGGAACTCATGAGGGTGCACGTGAGAGTACCAGAGCAAACTGATTCGCGGATCCGACATGGCCTACTCAGGATCTCTGCTAGCCGGCTTGGGAGACGTGTAGAAGCCATCATTTTGCTACTGGAGTTAATGCAACAATTAAAGCTTCTAATTTTCCAGACCAGCAAGAGTATGAAGCTTGACAAAGAGAAATTTGTAGCTTCTTGAGATTGGATTGCTTCTATTCCTTCTCATAGCATTAGATAAATCACAAGTAGCATCTCGAAGGCTTAGACATATTATACCTAGAGCTTCAGACAGGCCCATAGAGACTGGAACGAATTTCAGATCTTTTCCAGCTGGCGGAAGTCCCTACTGCAGCCATTCCCACTGTCTGAAATTTTTGCGGACCTCCCTACTGTTGGCTGGACCTCCTACCAGGATTGCCGGGCCTACTCTTATGATCTCTCCCCCACAGCCTTTCTCGCCGCCATACCTCCCTCCTGTAAGTTTTTCCTGCCGCCAGATCTACGTCTGTAGATTTTCCCCTATAGATTACTTCTCTTCGTTGGATGTATCTTTGAATGGAATCCCAACAACCGACCTCCATGCCCTTCTCCGTCAGTTTCTTCCCTACTACCGAAAACTCTATACAGGTCCTCCTCTGGAATTTTTTCTTGCAGCAGGCCCTCTGAAAATTTTCCTTCATTAGACCCTCCTCTGGAGCTTTTCCAATAGTAGACTCTCCTCCAAAGCTTTTTTCCTGTATCAGGCCCTCCTCCAGAGCATTTCCTGCAACAGGTCCTCCACCGAAATTCTTCTTGTAGCAGACCTTCTTTCGAAGCTTTTCCCTGTCGCAGGCTTACCTCTAGTGCTTTTCTTTTTTCTACAGACCATACACTGCAACTTTTTTTTGAGGTTGTCTATTTTCCTGCAAACTCTCCTGCAACATAACCTGTAGGAGTTTTCCGCCTACTTACAGGCACTACAGGAACTGCAGTCAACTAAAAGTCAGTTTTTCTTGCAGATTGTCTACTTCCCTGCAAATTCTCCTACAACATTACCTACAGGAGCTTTCTGTCTAACTATAGACACTGCAGGAGCTGCAATCAAAAGACAACCGCAGTCAATTATAAGTCAGTTTTTCCTACAGGTTGTTTGCTTTCCTACAAATTCCCTTGCGACATTACTTGTAGTAGCCTTCTGCCTACCAACAGACACTGAAGGAACTGTAGTTAAATATAACTGCATTACGAGAAACTTCAAGTTCTACTTCATTTCTACTTCATAGGATCTTCCTCGCCCATTATTTGATGTTTTCAAATCCAACTTGAACATGAATTTCATTAATGTTTCAACTTGAGGGGAAATCTTAGAAGTTATATTATGAAATAAATTTTTCTTGTTAGAAATTATGATGATTAGAGTTATTTCCTAATATAGATTTATTTATTTTCTTATTTTAGATTTATTTTCTTGGATGGGATGTGTTTTCTTTCCTATTTTATGTTGTTCCTGTATCTCCAAATAATTAATATGAATTGATTAATTGAAGATATTAGGTGTTATATCTTTCATTTCTTGTTATTTCTTTTTTATTGTCTTTTCTATTCTAAGATTTATGTAAGGGTTATTTATACCCATTTTCATATCAATAAAAATATTATGTTGAATTCTGAAAATCAACATGTTTGCTTGTACTTTTTGATATTTTAGAAAGGAGGATTGTACGGGTTTTAACTCTTAATGCATAGCTCTGTTATGTTGGAGGAGGAAAGTTGCCATAAAACAATTAAGACATGCATTTTCCTTGCTAAAGTTCTTAAACATATCTATTTTTATTCGTTTTACCTTGAGAACTTTAATGTGTACATATAAAAATAGGGCATTTACATATATATACTAGCCAATTCTCATGTTTTCACATATTTAATACCAAACTAATCCTCATTGGGGACTATTTCAACCCATATTAAAAGAGTCTGGCCACTAAATTTACATTTTTATAAACTCTAGGACTAAAATGATCACCTATGAAAGTCAAGGGATCATTTTGGCACTTTTCTCTTTATGCATCTCACACCTAAACTTTCATATTTACATGTATAGCAATCAAATCTTTAATTTCACAATAAAAATAGTACTGTTACCACTTTTAAAAAGTGTAATGTACTTTTTCATGCATAGGCTTAAAGCACCAAAGTGCTATGCATGTAAATATAAAAGTTTAGATATGAGATGTAAATACACAAGAATCGAGTGCTAGGTATTTATTTCTCTCTTGTAGTTATCTTGTAATTTTTACCTTCGTTGGTTTTACCATTAAAGTGAACTTTCATAAAGCCGTGACTAGCTGATCCTCTACCTTGTAAACATCAGAAGGCACTGATCAGGCAGCAAGGAGAGTTCTACTCTATCCACCACGACTTGATTGTGTGCTTCGGCAATTGGGAATTCGACCCAATGGATTTTAAAAACCCATTTCCCAACAGCGAGGGCTCCATCCACCTATGGCATGGCGCTCTGGATCTAGTCGTGAATGTATCTCTTTCTCGTTACATCAGCGAAAAGCTTCCTTGGGTTCACTACCATGAAATACCAGATGGAGGTCATATGTTCCCACATGCTGATGGAATGAGTGATGCCATTATGAAGGTGCTGGTGCTTGGAGATCAATAATTCAGGTGCAAAATTAGTTGAGTTTGATTTCCACATAGCTTATGTGAGCAAATTTTGAGCTTTTGATTTGATTATATGATTTTATTTTTGCATGAGGAATTAGTATTAGTTTGTGGTTCTACTTCTTTAAAGATTGCTTATGTATGAGATCATGATTTATGCTATAGTTTGGGTCTTTCTTTTTCTCATTTGACTCGAATTCACCAAGTTAGAGGTGTCAACTAGTGTTGATATGTTGAGTTTAGTCTAACTTGAAGTTGACCAATGCCAAATATGTGTGATTTGATATGTCTATTGTAAGGGTCAAAATATTCCGAATCCAAATTGATCCAAACTTGCTTAAACCGAACCCGACCCATTTAATCCGTTTATCATATGGGACGTGTATTCTTGGATCGACACGATCCAATCAGCCTGAATATAACCTTTTTAATTGAATTAACCCAACTTGAACGATCCTAACCTAAACTCAAATTATAATTTGGACAATTTTAGGTTGATTTTGGGTTATTCGAGTCAACCCGAACCCAACCTGAATAATAATGAGGACCATGTTTTCAACTTGAAATTAACCTAAATAATAATCTGGTTGGATCACATATTGACAACCCTAACTGGTTTGATCTGCATCTCTTGGTTTTGATATAGATCTTCTCACAAGTTTGTGAACCCTAGTTTGTAACACTAGAACAAGCTTTACCAACCAAATATGGTGGCTAATTAGAAGTATTATTTTGAAAGCAATGGCGCAATCCATACCATGAAAGTCTTAAATAGAGCCTAACACAAAAGTTTACAATGGATGTTTCCACAAAAGTTTTTAACGGTGGTTTGATCATTAATGTTGCGAGATGAACTCTTCTACATATAATGATTTTTCTCTATAAAAGACTTGTATTTGCCTTCATTGTAGATTTTTTTGGTAATCTTCATTTAAAAACTTTCATGGTGTGAAATGAACTGCCATTCTCAGCATTTGACACTTCTCAGAATCTCTCTTTGAATTGATTCTTCATATATTTATTTGAAAATGGGAGAGAAGTTAGATCTCCATACCTTTCTCTTTTGAGCAACTTTTGTAGTACTTTAGGGGATGGAATCCTAGTTGTACCGCACCGACGTGTATGGTTGATGATTGATGCACCTTGTCCTTGAGATCTATGATGTGCGAAAATATTCTTAGATTGAGAAAATTTTGATATGTTGGTGTATGATCTGTGGAGGAGTTGATAGAGAGTCTTCCCTCCTATGAGGAGATCCGTGCTCTCTACATACTATAATCTCCGACTTTTAATTTAGTTGCTATTATGGCTCAACTTTTCACAAGTAAGACCCACTAAGCAATCAAATGAGGTTTGTTTTAAGGAATTTGGCTTGATTTTTGTGTAATCAAGGATCCACAATATTATCATTCGACTTGTGGTAATGTCTTTAGAATATCAATTTGATTTTATGAGTTTGTTAGAGGTGAGGGGCTATTACTTACTTGCTCATCATTGAATAGGTATGATAAAAGCATGAATCTTGATACTTAATCAAAATGATTGGAATTGGTCAAAAGCTTTTCATTTTCTTCTTAGAAGTGTAAGTAATGCTTCTCTCTCTCTCTCTCTCTCTTCTCAGAAATTTTACATCCGGATGTCAGGACAACAGCCCGAATACAGCGAAGAGGGCAGAGGTCAAATTCCTCCCCTCCTCTGCTGCATCCGAGCCGTTGTCCTGACATCCGGAATCCGGATGTAAAATTTTTTCTCTCTAATGGCATTTTTTGTCTCAGAAATAACCTGCATACATGTGAGACAGTGCGATTCAGTAAACTCTCCCTAAACTAAAAATATAAGAGATTTAAACACGCATCACCAGATTTTTATTATTTAACATCTAAACTTTATATTTACTGAATTAATATTTTAATATTATAATCACATCAAAATATATGCATAAAAATAATTCTTTTATTTTTTAAAATTATCGTTTTCTATATATTTTATATAGTGCTAAAATTTTGAGTGCTATGTAAATAATAATAAATTTAAATATTAAAATATAAATCTATAAAAATTATGTCGTATGTCTGAAAATCCTCCATAGAAAAAGAATTATAAATGGGCACCATTATTATTAAAGGATAAAATTTTAATGTAATAAAGGATAAAATTTTAATGTAATAAATAAAAATAAATAATCAATAAGTAAATAATAATAGGGAAGATTTACATACCACTCAATTACCATGTATTTACATAACACCTAAATTTAAACTTTTACCTACATAGCATTTTATCCATGAATGAAAATGTATACTTCGCTTTCTTAAAATGGTAATTTTTTTTTATTTGACATGAATACTTTGTATGATATAAATATAAAACAAATTTGAAGCGTTGGATATGTAAATGCATAGCAATTTGGTATATGTACCCAAATGCCACAAAAAAAAAAGAAAGCTTAAAAAAATTCATAAATATTGACAATCGTATGTATGTATGATATATATATATATATATCTATGTGTGTGTGTGTGTGTGTGTGAATGACTTGGCTCATCGGTGTGGCCTCTGGCGTAAGTCCCTCGGGTTGGAGGTTCGAATCTCATTGCACGGGCTCTTCGAATCAGGCGCATGCACACCAAGGTTTTCAAACCTTTGGGGGAATCGATATTTGATGCCCATTGGTATATATATATATATATATATATATATATATATCATGGAAAGTGAAATGCTACCAAAACAAAATCATTAAATTATTAAAAATACAGATATTTCTATCAGGAATACAAACCACTTATAACCCAAGCCTCAAAATGAGATACAAAGAACACCAAAAAATAAGACAGACAAATCAGATTGAAATTCTGCATGACACATGCAATATTATCATAACTTTCAATTCTTATTAATGTAAAAATTATTTTAAAAAAATGTAAAACAAATGCACCTTTTCTCATGTAAATCACTTGGGAAGCCCAGTTTGGGAACTAATAAGAGCTTTATCTTCCTCCACAAGCACCACTGGACCTTTTCCAGATCTGGTGCATATAAAATAGTTTACATCTCCTGCAACTCTTTGGGCTGGGGCATTATCCTTAGCTTCAGGAGGTGGTTTCAATGCTTCAATACTGCTCAGGGATTGAATTCCAGCTTCTTGCAGTATTGTTTGGTCGCCTAAGACGTAGCTGTAAGAAACAAAATGTTAGGCAGCAGTTAAATGATCATTGCGAGCACGATCGAGAAAATGAGTAAAGTGCCAAAATAGTCCTCTGACGGTTTATATGGGGTCATTTTAGTCCCAGAGTCAATGAAAAGTGCCAAATTAGTCCCCCGAGTTTTTAAATATCGGCTAAAATTGTCCCCATGGAGGACTATTTTAGCAACCGTTAAATACTTTGACGATTAAATTAACACTTTATAGATTATGGAACAGAAAGTTTGGAGGGACACTTTAGCACGTTTCTCTTGAGTAAATGCATGGTGAACAGAAACAGACTTTTTCAATTCAGTATTTGGGGCTGGAGGGAAGTAGAACAGAAGTCTTTGAAGGAGAAGAGTGGCGACTTCATGATTGGGCGCGATCAAGACAGCATTTGGTCCAGCATCGAATGTGTAAGCTACCTGTAATGGGACAAACAGTATATTCAGCCTGTTATAATCATGACGATTATAATTCTGTTGATGATGTAAATTGGGCATTAATGAATTCAAATCAGATGATGAAATAATGGTCAGTCTAAACTTTGAGAGGTTGCTTAAGAAAATAAATATTAGAAAAGCATGACCATATAAAATCATAGAACAAATTGGACAAATTCTTGCAAATTAAAAAAAAATTTCCAAAAAACATATAGTAATATGGTAGTTTTAAATACATTTAGTTTAAATTTATATCATGAGCCATCAATTGATGTATTGGATTCTTCTTTTTCCACCTCCTTTAGGATTCACATCCAAAACTCAGTTGCATAAATTTTCAACCAATCATATTCTTTAAAATATTGGAGATCGAGTCGTGTCTATCATTGATGGTAAATATTAAAAAAACCTTAAAAAGAAAGGTTTGAAGCTGCACAATTGGGTGTTGGGACATTTCCTATTCATGAGACGAGACTTGCATCTTAAAACATTTTCAGAAGTAAGCCTCAAATTGATCTATTAAAACAATATGAAATAGTAAGTGATATACTAATATCAAATATCATGGATTGCATGACTTCTATTTTGTTCCTCCAAGAAAAAAAGAATACAATGAATAAGCATCATGCCTATATCTGATTCATTTTTAATAAGAATATTTCATAAGAATTGAGTATAAGTAGCAAGTTTAATAATGATAATAACAATAATAATAATAATAAAATACCAACTCGAAGAATTTAACGATTTAACTTCTGAAAGTTATGCACCCTACTTTTAATTTTTAGGCTACAACAATTAAGATTGATTTGTTGAATTCTGATAGTTATAATAGAAGAGGTAATATGTACTAGTGAAAATAAGAAAGATGTCATTGTACTGCCTCCTAAAGATATTGTATAAGTTAACCTTCAAAGTGGCAAGATTCTAACGCCTCAAATAGAACCAAAGATATGAAAATGCAAGTCGTTTGCAGTAATGAACATTACCATCATAGGAAGCTCCTCCACAAGACATGACTGTTGCAGCCAGCCCAAAATGATTACAACATCATCACACATTTGAGAAAGTTGTCCACTAAACTCAGCATTCATGACGCTCTTATCTTATTTAAGGAGATAAATAAGAAAGATGCCATTGTACTGCCTCCTAAAGATATTGTATAAGTTAACCTTCAAAGTGGCAAGATTCTACCGCCTCAAATAGAACCAAAGATATGAAAATGCAAGTCATTTGCACTAATGAACATTACCATCATAGGAAGCTCCTCCACAAGACATGACTGTTGCAGCCAGCCCAAAATGATTACAACATCATCACACATTTGAGAAAGTTGTCCACTAAACTCAGCATTCATGACGCTCTTATCTTATTTAAGGGGACATGGGACACTTTAATTAATGCCTGCTCAAACATGGGATTTGCACGGCCCAACTGGTGATGACTTCATCAGATGAAGCCTGCTACGTCAAGACGTTATCAGAGTTGCATTCTTTGATGAGGATTATTGCTTGAAACAACCAATCACATTCACCCACTTTTTATCTTTGTCAATGTGGACAACTTCATATCACCAAAAGTGCTTCTTGTTCTTGGTGTATCAACCATCATCATGAATCTAAAAACTCTTGCTTATCTTAAGATATATTTGCACAGAATCAGCTCAAACAAGACGATGTAGTGTGGTTTTAATGAAAAGGGTGACAGGCCTTAGATTTAGTCATAGTTCTTCAAATCGGGGATTTGAAAACAATAACTATGTTCCATAAAATAGATTCAAAATGATATAAACCAATTTCCTAATAATTCAATTTATATTATGAATGAAACATGATCAACATAGCAATCACCATAAGCTCATACTGAGGACATTAATTAAATGTATTTCATTTCGAATAATCTTTATAAGGCAATTAAAAATAAAAGAAAGATTTGTATTGATAATTCTAATAGCCTTGTTCGATTTGAGGAATACTTCCACCTGGTTTGCTAGTTAGCTTGTTTAGTTCTCTCTTACTTGGAACTTGTTCATGACCATACACATTAGGCTCAACACCATAATCGGTCTAACATGAAAGAATCAACTCAAACTACCCCATAATCAATGATGATTTTCTTCTAAAGGGAATAACCGTTTAAGAGCTTAGCTTTTCGTAAATCTTAAAACTTATACTTCATCATATATACAAGGTTTTCCTAGGTTAGCAAGTACAATAATATGGGATAATACTAAGTGGGCCATCATGTTATAACAAAAAGCCGGAGGGAAATTGAGTAGAATATCACGAAATAATTGTTAGCGGCAATGACTAAGCGAGTTCTTTTAGTAATTTTGACGCCCGACTCTTATTTAAAGAAACTTAAATACAATATACATCACTTGTCATATGTTGGGCACCAATCAATTTTAAAATCACGCAAAATGAGACATGCCTCGAGGTGTGTACCTCAACATAATTTAAGCCCAAATTGCTTTGAGGCACATGCCTCTTATAATTCAAGTAAGACACATGCCTTACATTGTGCCTCACCTCAATTTCATTGAAGTGTGCACTTCTTAGTTACAAGGCCTTTTTTTTATATATTAGTTAATATAATTTATAACTAGTTCTACCGACTCATGCAGCCTCCCTCACGTACAAAACTCCTCTCACGCCAAAAATTACCCTCTCACTCATTTTGTCGGCCTTTACTTGGTCGCTGCCTTCAATATTTCATTAGATGATGAATGTCTTGAGGAAGATGACAATGACGACACTGTTACTGAAAGTTCTAAATGTTGATTTCCTCATTGAGATAGATAAGATTAGCATACTTACACAAACAACATAACATTAAAAAAAAAAAAAGATATCCATACAAATTTAAGTATTTGAAGTTGTCGTAAACTTTTATTAATATTCTTAATTTTTATTGATTATTACTAATTATGAAAGAAGAAGATGAATAAAATGAAAGAAGAAGAGAGATAATGGGAGAACTTGGAGTCAATTGAATATGAGACGAGAAAAACTCTTCATTATGATGAACAATTTTAATGAAGATCCCAAAAGTGACAATAGTGCTAAGAATTTTTTATTAAATGTTATTCTTATTTTAATCAATGGATGTTATTATGCTAGATAGATGCGAGCGAGAAATTATTATGCTAAACTTATTTGATACCATCCTTTGCATATTATGTTGCTTTTATTTGATGTCTTATTTCATTTTAAATAAGTTGATATTTACATTACACAACTACGTTATGCAAATTGTTATATGATACTTAATATCGAAGTTCACCCAAACAACAATAAGAAAACAAATATTTTTACAACAAAAGCCAAATAAATAATTACAACCAAACATACATTAAATTGGAAAATAACAACACAACACAAACTCATACTTGGGTTCGATCCGTGGGTGGTGAAGGTTGGCTAGGTGGTCCGAAAGTAGTGGTAGGTGGTAGAAATGAGTGACAACGAGTAGGCATGGCCGAAAACAGCAAGGGGGAGGGTTGGATAGTAGGTCGGTAGTCGTAGAGGATGGTAAGGACGACTGAAAGGGCTGTGGATTGTTGAAAACAACAAGCAAGAAGGCAGCGGCAGGGGGTGGTAAGGATGGTTGTGGATTGTTGGAAACAAGGGGGAGGACTGAACTGCAGGTAGGTAGCGGTGGAGGGTGGTTGGGAAGACCATGGCAGTGAGAAAGGTGGCCTCGGGAAGATGGAAACAGGTGAAACTGCAGAAAAACAATATGGAAGGTTGTTCAACGACTATAGCAGGGAGGAAGGAAGGTGGCAGGGGAGGGAAGGCAGTAAGGGAAGAGGAAGTCGAGGATAATCACCACTTCGGAATAATATACAATCGGAGCACCACTCGTCCTTGCATACAATCCTAAAAGGGAAGACTTGGAGACACCTATAGCTATCCCGATAGAAAACTCATAAAAAACTGAAATTCAAACCCTAATACAATACATATATAAGAAAAGATTAGAAAGGAAGTAAATGAAAGAAGGAAACTTGCTAAAGGAGAAAGGAAATAAAATAAAAGGAAAATAAAATATGGATCACATTTGTTTTGCCTCCCACGATTGTTAATCGAGCAAGCATTTGCAGTACTGTAGCAAAAACTATGGCGTTGTAGTAGACATCACGGAAAGCGAGTGCGAAATCGCGTGTCCGTGCGGGAAGGGAAGCTCTCGCGTCAGTTTCCCGGGGTTGAGGGAGTTGCGACCTCATCCATCTAAGCTTCTGTCTCATAGTATGGTATCTGACCAGCCAGTTTGAAGGTGATGAAAATGTTATAAACTCTAGGTAAATCAATCATGTATGTGTTGTCATTCAAAAACACACTCTGATAGAATAAATACACATCCTCTTTTGGCACAACCTGATCTGGAGCTGTATGTAGATATTAATTCTCACAACATAACACTTGAGCCATTACATTTGTAAATTATTTCTCTCACTGCTCGTACTAGGCTGAATGCATCTGATTAATGAGTCTATCAGAAGGAATCAACTCTGGAATGAAATCTATGATATAATGAACTACACTAAAATATAACCACTTAGGAGAAACATCTTCTTCTATGATAGGACTTGAATCTCATTGTAGGATTTTCTCTCCCACCAAGCTATTAAGACAATTTTTAATGCCATGTTTCATCCCTCCTATCTGGCCATCTGTCGGTGGGTATATTGTTGAAATGAATTTAGTATTTAAATAACTTCATATAGTCTTCCAGAAGTAGCAAAAAGAGTCTCATCACTGACATATTGGGCCTCTCTCAGTAGATGCAACTTAGGAAGTAGATTATATATCTGAAAAGTCCAGAAATTCTCTTATCTAGAGTTGTCATGTGTTTGGTTTCGGTTCCTCAAACTTAGGATGACCTTCGACCACCAATGTTAATTATACTGGAATCTCTCATTGGCTCAACATGAACTACATGTTTTGTTCTCTCATAAATTGAAATTTAGTACTCCTTTA